AAAAAAAAAAAAAAAAAAAAAAAAAAAAAAATTGTTTATAAATAAATAAATTTCGGAAACTTTTTTTTTATAGCATAAATAAACCTACTTTAGCATATTAATTTTAAATTAGGAAGATTGGTGTTCGCCAAATTTAATTCTTAGGGAAATATGTTTATTTTTTAATAAACAATCATATTTTATATTTAAATAAAAAATATTGAATTTCGTGACAGTATAAATGTACATGTTTACTTAAATAGCATAACGAGTGGACTTAACTATGTCTACAAAATTGGTCTAGACACATGCACATACACAAATTGAAAACTATTATTAACCATAGGGCTTTTCGTTCGGTCAAAATCGAACTGAATTGTCCGAATTTTCAATTTTCGGTTGACCGAAAATTCAGTTTGCCTATTATCAAAATCGAAAATCGAAAAAAAAATTTACGGTTCGGTTCGGTCCGGTTCGATTTTTAACTGAAAGATCGCAATAAATAATTAATCTTCTCAATAAATTTTGAACTTTTAATTGAACAAAAAATTTGATCCAAAAAAATTAATTTTTATCACTTTCTTTAATCTTTTCAATAAATTCTAAATTCTCCTCAAAGGAAGATCTCAGACTCGAGTTGTGACTTGGACTATGACGAAGTCAATTTTGAGTACAAATTAATGCTTGAGCCATTTAAGGGGTCATTGAAACTTGAAAATCATCAATCATTGAGGCAAATTAATGTTTTTATAACTTATATGTATAAATAAAAAAAACATTCATATATATATATATATATATATGTAAAAATCAGTTCGGTTCGGTTCCGTTAACCGATCACAATAATCCAAACCGCCGAAAACCAAAATTTTAAAAAAAATGTAAATTGAAAACCAAACCAAATATTCGGTTTCGGTCGATTTGGCTCGATTAACCAAACTTTGTGCACCGCTAATTAACCGTGTCTTAAATGAACAGGTGAATACTATTTAAGCAACTAAATGTATTTTACACAACACATAGTAATATAAAATAATATTTTTATTTGTTCCATCAAAATTGATGTGGAATGAGTTCTTTACAAAGTCATCCATGAGTTCTTTACTTAAGATATGTGAGTATGAATTTTGTTTGACTCGTGCCATATATACATTATACAATACATAAATAGTAAAACTCTTGGTTTTATTTGGCATATAAAAGTATTTATTTTTATGTTTTTAAGTTTTATCTAATTTTAAATTTGAGTTACTGATTTAAATTTCAATTTTGAACCATTGTACTGTCCAATTAAATGATATTTAGAAAAATAAACATATTAAATTAATTAATATAACCACGCTAATCATTCAATAAAATATTTAAATTTATTTGACTTGATTTTTCGAAAGTGACGTATACAATATATGTAACAAAAAAAAAAAAAAAATCAGGAATATGAATGGACTAATGACTAATGAATACATTTGTATTTACTTAATACTATCGCCATTAGTATCTAAGTCAAAATCCCTAAATTTTGACCATTTTTTTTTTTTGAATCCCATTTTCTCCGGATTCATTTGTTTTTCCAACAAATGTACATTATTGTTTGCTGTAAAATATTTAAAATAAATAAAAAAGTAAAAAAATTGTAAAATATTTAACGAGTTATTCATAATTCGTAAATAATAATGGAAATTCTTAGTATCATTATTTACCTAGTCCAGCCAATAAGGTTAATAGTAAGAAATAAAACATCAAGTTAAGATAAAGGAATGTGACCATTTCTCTATTTACGCGTGCCATCCTTGCACAGAGGCCATACTAATTTTCTGTGTATCGTTTCAGTTTTATCGGATGTCCCAAAGTGACCATAAAGGAATGTGAATTTCTTGAAAACTTCACCTAGTAACTTCACTTACCCCAAAGTTTAATTTTATTTATTTATTTAATTTTTTACTTTTTTTTTTGTTTTTTTGCGAATCATTTACCCCAAAGTTAATTGATCTCTATTGGTTGCAAGAAAGTCAGGAAAATAAAGAAGGTAACAAAAAAAAGTAAATAAAAAAACGTTAGCACCCATTGAAATCACCCCCACAATTCCACTCTTATAAACTGGTGAGTGATGAGAATTGGTTCAATGAATATGTTTTGGTGGAAAAAGGGTAAATTTCACATGTTGCCATGCCCAAAGTATTTGTATATAATATTGCACATTCACTACACAAAATTTACGAATTTACAATTTCACTACCCAAACAATCGAAATGGTATCAACTTTACAACCCGGCTGTTAACTAACCGCAAAGCAAGCATTTGTAGGGAACAATATAATTTCAAAATTATTTACATTCATAAAACAATATTAAAATTAATAGAGAAAAACATTTAGATTAAACAAAATAAGCTCAAAACAACACTGAATGCACACACGGGGTCTTCTTCGGCTATGCAAGATTAGATTCGTGCCTTGGAAAATAATGGCACGTGGGATGTAGTCTCTCTCCCTCTGGAAAACATGTTATCGGGTGCTATGGGTCTTTAAGATCAAACACAAGGCCAACGGTACTGTTGAACGATATAAAGTGCGTCTAGTAATCTTGGGGAACAATTAGGTGGAAGGTCTTGATT